TAAACACTCACACAGCCACGACCAAGTGTGCAGCCACTGGGGCACAGCGAGGAGTCGCCCAGGGCACTGCAGAGTGGACGCAGCTGCAGGCGGAGCCCACTGCCCTCTCACGCTCGGGGCGTCTCCCAGCTGCGGAAGGCCGGGGCGGAGCAGTGAGCGCTGGAGTCTGGGAGAGCCGGGAGCCGGGTCCTGGTCCCTCCGTGCTGCTGTCTGGTTTGCTCTCTCATCGGGTTGCTGTATGACCAGAGTCTCACACGCCCAGCCTTGGACTGGTTCCACAGAGCTCATCGTGGACGACAGGGGGCCCCTCCCCAGCCCCCACTTCCTGTTTCCCAGGCACAGTCACTGCGCGGCCAATTTCAGCGGACGCTTCTGTCCCCACTTCCTGTGCCGAATCACACGGCCCCTTCTGGACACATCAACCCCGGACATTTCTCGCGCCTTCCCCGCGGTGGCTGAGGACGGCTCTCTCCTTGGCACCTCTGAGCCCGCGGTGGCCGTGCCTGGAACCCTGCCCTCCATCACCTGAGCAGGCCATGTGGCAACCTCAGCAGGACCAAGAGGTGTTTATGTAAATCCCCACCCCCCTCCCCAGGCAGCCAAGGGGCCTCGCTCCTACGGCCCCGCCCCCCTCCCCGAGCCAGCCAACCAAGGGGCTTTGCTCCTATGGCCCCGCCCCCTCCCCGAGCCAGCCAACCAAGGGGCCTGGCTCCTACGGCCCCGCCCCCCTCTTTCCCGAGTCAGCCAACCAAGGGGCCTCGCTCCTATGGCCCCGCCCCCCTCTTTCCCGAGCCAGCCAACCAAGGGGCCGCGCGCCCACCTGGCAAGGACGGGCCGGCGTCTGATGGCTTGAAGTCCGGCAGGACGCTGGGGAAGGGGATGCTGACGGTGCTGCCGCTGTGGGGGCTGGAGAAGCCACTGGACGAGGGGGACACGGAGCCCAGCGAGCGGTCCCCCTCCGAGGCCCGCTTCTTCTCCGGGAGGGGCGGCTGCCCCGGCAGGCTCAGCCCCTGGCCCTGCAGACCAGGGCTGTGGTGGCCGTGGCCAGGCGCCACCGTGAGGAAGTTGTGGGACAGGAAGCCGTGGTCAGCAGCGCCTGCTGCGGTCAGCGGGGTGCCAGGGACCGGCGACGCCGTGTGGCAGTTGCCCAGCACGGCCCCCGGGTCCTCCCGGGGTGGAAGGCTGCCGCCCACGGGGCCGGTGCCGAAGCCCAGGAAGGCCTGGCCGCTCGGGGGGCGCTCCACCAGGGGCAGCTCGTGGCTGTGGAAAGAGGCCTGGAGCTCCGAAGGCAGGAAGCAGGGCAGCCCCGGGGGGTCCGGGCTCGGGCCAGAGAACTCGCGGGCGCTGAGGGGTCCTCCTGCGGGCCGACTGCTCTCCAGCCACGGGTGCTCTGCGGAGGACGGGCTGTTCAGAGACAAAGCAAGCGGGAGCGCGCGTGAGGCACCAGACGCAGCTTCAGGACCCATCCATCACCCCCGCCCGCCCATGCCTAGGAGGACTGGGACGCAGCAGCCGGGACCCCGTGCAGCCCAGGATGCTACGCAGGCCCCTTATTTGCGTGGACAGCTGCAGTGTGCAAATCAGCCAACGGGTGTGTGGCGTAGCGGGGAAAGCAGCCGCCTGCAGCGCCGGCGTCCCACACGGGCAGGGCGCTGGTTTGTGTCCTGGCTGCTCCACTTCCAACTCAGACTCCTGTGTACGGCCTGGGAAAGCAGCAGACGGCCCAGTGCCTGGGCCCCGCAGCCACGAGGGAGACTCAGATGAAGCTCCTGGCTCTGGCCTGGCCTAGCCCTGGCCACTGTGGCCATGTGGGGAGTGACCCAGCAGATGGAAGACTCTCTCTCTCTGTTTTGTCTTCTCCATAACTCTGACTTTCAAATAAATAAATAAATCTTTAAAAAGAGTAGAAAAGAAAAAAAGAAAATCCTAACAGGAGCTAAGCAGGAAGGAAGTGGCGGCCCCGCCCGCCAGGGGACGGAGTCCCCTGCTGTCCCGCGTGTCCTTGCCGGGCGCTCGGCTGCTCGGTCCTCGCTCAGTCGCTGTCTCCACGCTTGATCGTCGCCCCAGTCTGGCGTGTTCCACTGATTTTATTGAGCAGTAGCCCCGAAGTGTGCGTGTGGCGACAGTGGCGACTGGGACAAACCAGACCAGTGGCGCTGTGCTGTGTGGGAGGTGGAGGCTGACCACGGGGACACGTGTGGGAAAACACGCTGACATCTGGGTGTCACGTTGGTGCCATCCGCCTTCAAGCATGTGCTGGGGGTCCTGGGATGGGTCCCAACCCGGATGCAGGGAGGAGCCCACTGGCAGGCACCACGTTTGTAGGAAGACAGAAGAGGCACTAGGGAAGCCACGACCCACGTGACACACCCACGTTTCACTGGGAAGGACGTGTGCCTCATCTCCCTCTCGCCAGAGACGCAGAGGACATGAGGACACAGAGGACACGTAGACACAAATGGACACGGGGACACAGATGGACACAGGCAGACACGTAGACACAGTCGGACATGTTGACACAGACGGACACAGGGACACAGATGGGCACGTGGACACAGGCAGACACGTGGACACAAGCAGACACGTGGATACAGCCAGACATGTGGATAAAGATGGACACATGGACACAGACATGTGGACACAGTCGGATACATGGATACAGGCATACACGTGGATAGACATGTGTACACAGGTGGACACGTGGACACAGGCAGACACGTAGACACAGTCGGATACGTGGACACAGACGGACACGTGGACACAGCTGGATACATGGACACAGTCGGATACGTGGACACAGACGGACACGTGGACACAGCTGGATACATGGACATAGGCAGACACGTGGACACAGATGGACACGAGGTCTGTCTCTCGCCACTGGGATGCAGCCGAGGAGCAGTGCCCGGCCGGAGCCCGGCCCTTGCTCTGGGCCGTGAGCCTCCAGACTGCGGGCAGAAGCAAAGCCCTGTCCTCGCTAAGCGGCTTATTTCCCTGCAGTCCTGAAAGCTGGCGCGGCCGGTGACCTTGCAGTGGGGAACAGGGCGCCTCCCGGCCCCGCCCGGGCTCCCTCGGGTCTCGGTTCTCGCGATCCCCTGTACTGAGGCGCTGAGATTCCCCACGTGCCGTGCCGCTGCACTTCCCCGCACCAGGACACCCTGCCCCGCCCGTCCCGGCTCTCACCTGGCTCTCCTGGGGCCCGGGCCATTGCTCGAGATCTTGCAGGAAGATGTGAAAGCCTGCTGGAAGCTGGGTGTGGCGGGGGCGTCGGCCCCCAGCATGGCGGGGGCGGGTCCCAGGGGGCTCTCTGACATCCCCACGGCGTGACCAAGGCTCTCGGGGCAGCCTCGGGGCTCTGCGGGACAAAACAGGACACGAAGAGACCTCGGTCAGGGGTCTGAGGAGCCACCGACAGGGAGTGGTGCCAGCTTCTACAGCTCCCAGCTGTCCCAGCAAAGCCAAGCAGTCATCTGGCACCCGTGACAGGCAGGAGGGGTGCAGCCGCAGACACTCCAGGCTCCCACTGCGAAGACTCCAACCCAGAAGGGGACCCCACTTCTCCTAGGCTGTGGCCGCATGGGCGACACGAGCTGGGCTGACCAGGCTGGCACCGACTGACGACCTATGGACACTCGGTCACGTCCAGGCTCAGGGCCCAGGCGCCCACTGAGTCAGGAAGGCCGCAGCTTTCTCTGCCAACCACAGGAGCCGCCCCCCACACCCTGCGCCCCGCTGCCCGTGCGTCCTTAACTTTCCATCGGCCCCCTCCCTCCCCAGGCGGGGACCCAACTGCTACACCTCCAGCAACTGTGACAGGGCAACCAAGCAGCACCCGCCCGGTCACCCTGCACCCAGGCTCCACGGCCGGACACGCGGAGGCCACCTCCACCGGGCCCTGGGGGCACACAAACCCACCGTGTCCAGTAGTACCCCAGCACGGGCACGCCCCCTGGTGGACTTCCTGCTCAATTTCTCACCAGGAGCACCACTATTTCTGGATATTTTAAAATCTTGCCTTTTTTTTTTTTTAATTATTCTTTAAGAAATGAGCACGGCAACCATGGTCAATTAACAATTATTACAAATGCAAGCCATTCTGCTTCCTGCTGCAAAACAAAGTGAGGTTAATCTGAGAATCATGAAGTAGGACAAAGTCCATTTTAATCCTGGAGCTTTCCAGAAGGTCTGCTTTGCCCTGGCCTCGAGGGGTCACTGCAGGGCACGCCCGAGGCTCAAGGGCACATGGGTCTCACTGGACAAAGGCCGCCGCCTTTTCTCTTCCGATGATCACACCCCTACGGAAGGCACTGCCAGGGATCCTGGAAGGAGTGGCCAGCAGTACCAGACCCCTGGACGGACACTGAGAAGTGCGCGCTGATCCCAGTGCCCACCTGTGGGTCCCTCCGGCCAGCGAGGCCAACACAGGCCATGTACCCGACGGCCGGGCAGTCCCAGGAGCCATTCACAAAACGTGCCCTGTCACTTGACTGTAGATCAACAGGACGCACGCACCCCACCCACGGGACACTGCCACGTGGCTCAGGGCTCGCCTGTGCCTTACTTCTGTCTGGCAGCTGTTCTTCCCTTACTGAAACCGGATGGAGTTCTCGATTCTTCCACATCAATGACATCCCTCAAGGATCTAATCCTCTGATAGATCTTAGAGGAGACTTAAAGGTTAACTCCCATTGGATGTCTCAGAAAGACAGCCTGCAGAAACCCTACAGGGGCCGTGCACACTCCGGTCAGGCGCGACGCCGTGATCTCTGGGGAAATCCTCACTGATGTGTGCACCAGCCCCGGGGACACCTGCTCCCGCCCAGGCAACCTCTGACCTCATTCCCGTCATGCACAGTGGTTTGCATTTCTCAAAACTTCATACGAACGGACGCGCTGACACAAACTGTGGCGGGCTACTTTGTCACTGTGTTACTTCAGGACTCAGCGAGCCGTAGGAGGTACACACGGCTCATTCCTCTTGGCTGGCGTGCGGCTTTGCATTGTACCCACATACACCGTGTCTCCAGGCACCTGCTGGTGGGCACTGAGGATGCCTGCATGGGGGGCCACTATAATAAAGGCACTGTGAACACTCACAGACACTTTTTTGCACGGACACACATACACTTGCACTTCTTTGAGGTACACACACAGGAGTGCAGCGGCGGCACCACATGGCAGGTGCACAGTGAACTTAGTGTTAAGGAACTGCTTCCAGAGCACAGGTAGCGTATTTGACATTCCCACCAGCCACACATCGGGGTGCCCGTTCCCCCACCTGCTGGCTGACGCTTGCTGTAGTCAGTCTTCTCACCTACAGCCTGGTGGCTTGGGCAGCGGACGCACACCGGGGCTTTAACCTGTGTCCACGGGTGACACTGAGCCCCCTCGGCCTGCATGCAGCCAAGCTCGTGTGTTCTCAGAGAGCAGTCTGCTCCATCCTTCCCCATGCCCCCCCCCTCAGCTGTTCTCCACCTCACCGTCAAGTAGTGAGGGTCCTTTGATTCCAGACACGAGTCCATCTGCACATTTTCCCAGCCCATTGCTGGTATTCGCATTCACAGAACTGCTTTCAAATAGCAGAAGTTCGTGATTTTGATGAAGTCCAATTCGGAAAAACAAACAAACAAACAAACAAACAAAAAAAACCTTTGCCAACCTCAAATCACACAAGATTTTTTCTTTTTTCTGTTTAATTTCCTAAGATTTATAATCATGGTGGGACTGGCACTGTGGTGTAGCAGGTAAAGCCACTGCCTGCAGTGCTGGCATCCCATAAGGGATGTTCCGGCTGCTCCACTTCCGATCCAGCTCTCTGCTATGGCCTGGGAAAGCAGTAGAAGATGGCCCAAGTCCTTGGGCCCCTGCACCCACGTGGAGACCTGGAAGAAGCTCCTGGCTCCTGGCTTCAGATTGATGCAGCTCCGGCCATTGCGTCTATCTAGGGAGTAAACCATCAGATGGAAGATCTCTCTCTCTCTTTCTCTGCCTCTGCTTCTCTGTAACTCTGCCTCTCAAATAACTCTTAAAAAAAAAAAAAAGATTTATAGTCATGGGTTTTACATTTGGGTCTATGATCCATTTTCAGCTCATGTTTGCATGCGGTGTGAGGTATGGATCACCGTGTATTTTTTTAGGAATGGATATCCACCCGGGCCACAGACGTCCTGTGAATCCCAGTATTTCCCTCTCTGGGCTTGTGCGAGGGGCACTATGCCGGCGCGGGTGGGGATGGGGGCCTGTTCCTCTCATCACTTCCTCGGTTCTTCTGCAGCCTTGAGACGCTCCCTCTGCCGAGTGGCCTGGCCGGTGCTGAGACGCACGGTGCGTCCTGGCAGACGCCCCGTCCCCCTGTGCAGCGTCCTCCTCTGCACCCCGTGGTCCACTGTCGTCTCCACTCTCCCCTCCAACCGCACAACCCGAGGAGCCTCTCAATTCCACCTGAGTCTCCGCTCGCTGCCCCAGGTGTGGAGCTGGGGCGTCTCCCTTTTCTCGGGGGCCACGCCGTGATGGCCACTGTCTCGCCAACCACCGTCCCTTTGTCGTCTGCTCAGGCAAGATGATGAGTCTGGTCTCTGTGACTCCAAGCTCCCCTGAGGCTCATGCCTCCACCCGTTCAAAGGAGGAACTCACTGCAGTCAGAACTAGCTATGCAGTCAGAAATCACTCATGTTAACTTTATAAATGCCCAAGGCTTAGAGTTTTGCAAAAAAACGAAAAGACAAAAATGCAGGCAGGCACAGAGCCTACACTCTGAGGGCTGCTGTGCACAACATGGAAATGCAGAATTTTAAAACCAGCTCAAGAGCTGGGGTCGGGGGTGGGTGTCTGGATCCCAGGAGCGCGTAGACCCCAGATAAAGGACTTGGTCTCTGCTCTCCCGGCTTCCGCCTCATCTGGAGGACGTGCAGACCCAAGGACAAACGAGGGTTACAGACAACCCTCGTTCTCACTAAAGGGAAGGGGGCAGGAGATGCGGTAAGTGGCCAGAGTGTGAGGGAGGGATGCTGCCGGCCTGGCGGGGGACGGCAGAGCGCACTCAACAGCCAGGCAACACCACAACCTGGGAGCCGCCTACCGGAGAACGCCACACCGGCTGCCTCTGGTGCAAAGTCAGCAGCTGCACTCTCAGCGGGGACCGGGCACACCCACGGCCACTAGACCAATGCCAGAACTGTGGTTGGCGGATTTCGCTCTCCCAGGACAGCCAGGGCTTCCTGGGCCCAAACCTCCAGGCAAAGCAATGGCCCAGAGACACATGAGAGATCCACTGTAGCCTCTGCCACTCAGCCACTGACCCATGGAGCGCAGCTGCCAAGGAGGCCCAACAGAGTCAGTGATGTGCCAATCATGCAGTCCTGGAGAGACAGAAGCACGGCAGCCAGGCCTGGGGGGGCGGGGTCAGGATCTGAGACCAGGCGACTCAGGTACACATTTCCTGCAAGGCTTGTCTGAACCCTAAGCAAAGGCCCGGCACTGGAGGTGTAGTCCCTGCACGGCGCAGCCATAGGGCCCTGGCTTCACTCCGCCCCTTCCCCTTGGGCTGTGGGAGCCTGGGAAGCGTTGCACCCTGCTGTGCAGGAGAGGGGACCAAGGTGTACAGTTCAGGTCACCTCTGAAGTGCCCCTGTCCACTGTTCTGCTGGAAATCTAGGAAAGCCACAGATCTGAAAACCCTAGTCCAAGGACAGGCAGAACCCACGGAGCTGCTGCCCTGGCTTGCCAGGTGCGCCTGGTGCTCCTGGTTAAACTACAGGTAGGGGGACCGGCGCCGTGGCTCACTTGGTTAATCCTCCCCCTGCGGCACCAGCATTCCATATGGGCACCGGATTCTGTCCCGGTTGTTCCTCTTCCTGTCCAGCTCTCTGCTGTGGCCCGGGAGGGCAGTGGAGGATGGCCCAAGTGCTTGGGCCCTGCACCCGCATGGGAGACCAAGAGGAAGCACCTGGCTCCTGGCTTTGGATCGGCGCAGCGCCGGCCGTAGCGGCCATTTGGGGGGTGAACCAACGGAAGGAAGACCTTTCTCTCTGTCTCTCTCTCTCACTGTCCAACTCTATCTGTTAAATAAAAAATAATAATAAAAATAAAGTACAGGTAGGAATGACAAAACCAGGCCAGCATCGTGGCGCAGCAGGTAAAGCTGCCATCTGCAGTGCCAGCATCCTATGTGGGCATCGGTCTGTGTCCCAGCTGCTCCTCTTCTGATCCAGCTCCCTGCTGATGGCCTGGGAAAGCAGTGGCTGAGTGCCTGGGCCCCTGCCACCCATGTGGGAGACCTGGAAGATGATTCTGGCTCCGGGCTTCGGCCTGGCCCAGCCCCGGCCATTGTGGCCATCTGGGGAGTGAACCAGCAGAT